TTATACTCTGTTCATTAACACAGCCAAACCGAATAGAATGAGGAAAATTTCTCGCCAGGCCCTGCGTTTGGAATACATTTTCTGTATGAAAAGGAAAGACCTCTTCAGTTTTAATTGTTCATACTCCTAAACTAACAAAGAGAACAAAGTAAGGAGAGGTTCATGGCGTTTCTCCTCTGAGGCCATCTATGCACCTGCAGGAAAGATTTGGCTTCTGTGCTTGCAGGGCTAATTGGTGCAAGAGAAAACACAGAACATTAACATGCATTTAAATTCCAGGCTCAGCATAGTCATAAAAAAAGAAAATATGCTTGAAAGATGAATCCACCTGATCCCAGGGCCACTTGATAGTAAATGCGTCAGATGGGAGAGAGAAAAGCAGAGGGGACTTTATTTGTGTTAGGTTTCCTAACAGGTTCAGCTGGGGCAGGGATGAAAACTGGAAGGAGAATGGGTGGGACCTGAGCTCAGGGCTGGACAAGACCTGCATGCTCAGATTAATCCAGGAGGAGCCCTGGGGGGCAGGAGGAGATCCAGACGGACGGATCCCCTTAACAAAGTTTTCCTGCACAGCTGCAGCTCTGCAGGCTCGGACCAGCAGGGTGCTTGCAGGCAGACTTGTGTTCAGGGTTTGTGCTCAGGACTGAATGGGGAATGAGCTCTGAGCCTTCCACTAAGGCAGCAGGGCTCCGTGTGGGTGCAGGAAGAAGTGTGCTGCTCAGTGCTGCTGCGTGGTCTCACAATGGACTCGGGTGTTTCTCACTTATGTTACTGCATTTTCACACACTGTGCACCAAAAAGTAAAATGTGTTCCTGTAGATGAAGAAGTAAATGTATTCACTGACCTTTTCCATTTCTGTTAGCAGTGAGTTTTCTGTTAAGGAAAAGTGGATTTGGTTTCTTTTTCCATCCTGTATTCCAACACCTGTTAGGAGGAAGGACTCAATCAGGGCTGTGAAAGGCTTGGAGGCTGCGGGAGCCGCAGCTTTACCACTGCAAAGGAAAACGTCAGAAGCGCCGGGCTCTGCTCCTCCCATCGCCAGGGCTGCGGTGTGCTGCTGTGCCCTCAGCTGCCACGGGCACAAAGGTGCCGGCAGGAGTTGCTGCTCTCATTGCTCTCTGCTGCCTTCATTCTGCATGGAAACCGTGCTGCCAGCAGTCAGGTGGGAACGGAGTGCACAGCTGATGGCAGTCCGTGTGATTGTAACGGATAAAAAGGACAAAAAAATTGCAAAACGCAATTGCAATTGCACTGTTGTCTTCTTCTTGTTCCTGCCATTGAAGCCATTCTTATGGATCTTATCCCTCCACCCACTGGCTTATGATGTGCATTACTAGAGCAGCAACACCTCACCAGTAGGGTAAAACTAACCTGTCTCACCACTGCCAAATCCCATAGTATCCTTATCTTTAGCCCAGGTTGGCACAGCTCCACTCAGCTCCATGGAGGGAGGCTCACAGCCGTGGCAGAGAGCTGAGCTCTGAGGGCACGGGGCTGATGGGAGCAGCCTGGTGCAGTTCAGAAGTTATGAATTCAGACCTTGGCTGCCCTGTGTGCACTCGAGCTGGCTTTACATGAGGGAAAGGTGAGCAGCTGCACACACTGAGCTGTGCCTGTGGGTGCCATGCATGGCAGAAGGTATTGCAGGGCATTGGCTTCACCTTCTGTACCTCAAAATATAATGATGGCAATAAATATCAATATCTGAGAGCAAAGGAGCTTTCTTGTGGCTCTGAACTTACAATGCCTCTGGTTTCATGTCTGTGCATCATCTCTGCATTTCTCCAGAGAGCTCCCAACCCTTCAGGAGACAAATTAACCTTCTGGCATTTAACAGAAAGACACCCAAAGGAAAAATACTGAATGCCTTTAACATCTTCAGCTGCAAAGCCTCCCCAGACACGTGGGCAACTTGCATTTTGCTGAAGGAAATCAACACAGAAAACCCTGAACAATTTTCTTCCACAGCTCAGGCACTGCTCTCCCAGCACACCTGGACAGTTGAGGGATGGATGTGGGGGAACTGCCATGAGGGCAGCACCCAGATCTGCTGCACATCTGCCAGGTGGGAGCCTGGAAGCCACGGCACAGCACTTGTTGTTGGTGTGAGTTGTGCTAAAACAGCCTGATTTCAGCTGATTTCAGCACAGTGGGCTGCCCTCCATCTCTGCTCACCTGTCTGCATGCAGGAACCAAACACAGCTGAGGGTCAGTGGGGATTACTGTGAAAGGAAGATAGGATGCAGGGATGGGACTGCACTGAGTTTCATTCTGAATGTTTCAGGAGGTTCTAATGCATACCTGCAAATAAATCCTTTGCATCTGAAGAAAGATAATGTGTCTGAGATCCTGCTGAGGATCTGATTAAGCTCATTGCTCTAATTTCTGAATGTGCTGGCAGTATAAAGCCAACACCACACTGGGCAAGACATGAAGCACACACAGGCTTATAGACAGAATAAGGCAATGGCTCTTCAGATGCAAGGAATCTCATAGTCCAGATGGAAATGACTTCAGAGGAAAAAAAAGAAAAAGAGGCCTACAAGATCACTTGTGCAGAATGTCCTTACATGCCTCAAGAAGGTACAGTAAGTACAGACTTCTCTCCTGCTGAGAGCAACTGGAGGTTTGTCACAGGTTTGGGGTGGGCAGCACTTAGACCCCAGGAAACATCCATCCCAAGGCTGTCTCTTCCCTCCGATGGGGAGGATTCCCATTTCAGAGCAGTGCCTCTGCTATTTATTATTATTTGCAAAGATTTTCAGTGGTTTCTCCAAAAGCCTCTGGCAGACGCAGCACCAGCTGCACCAGGTGCCCGAACTGCAGAAGTGTGCAATTGTGAAAAGGTTCATCACTGTCTGCGTGCTTTGAGAGAGGTTATGTGGCTGTGGCCAACTCCAACCACACAGTAACTCAGGACACCCCACTCTGGGAAGGAGACATGGGCTGGGTTCCCCTGTGCAGAGGGAAAGTGGCTGCAAACAGAGCCACAGCCACAGAGGAGATGGGAGGAGGACAGAATCCAAAACCTTTCTTCTTTTTAATAAGGTGTGAGCTGCACATGGTGGAAATCGAAATGACTACAATCTCCAGTTCAAACACGTATCTTCCAATATCTGTGTCTGAGACCAAAATCACCTTTGTTTCTTGTGAGGCTGTCTGCATCTGCCAAGGATCTGCAGGCCCGGGAAGAGTGCTTACTTAAGAAGAATCCATCAGGGCTGAAATTCCACTAAAAGCCCCACTTCGAGATTTCAAGCTTGGAGATTGTTGTGCTTGCTGTGATTTTTGTTCTCTGTTAATTGCATTACCCATACATGCAGATGCTCTGTGCCCCAGGGATGCCGCAGGGCTCCGTGCCCACAGGGCGCCGCAGGGCTCTACGCACCTGGGAGGATCCAGAGCCCTGTGAAATGCACAGAGATCTCCACTGAGCCTCCAGCCGGCCTTCACAGCACTGCCCCGTCAGAAAGGTGCCGTAGGCACTGACTTCCTTCACCTGCTGTTCTGGGAATTAATCTGTGGAGATCAGACTTCCATCCTCTGCATCAGGGGTGTGTGTGTGGGCAGCCCACATGGATGGGTGGCCAACGTGTCCTTCCTGCTCCTGCTGATGACTTTTGAGATCATCCAAATGTCTCAGAATTAGAAGAAAAGAATCCTGTTCTTTTTTTTCCACAAGAACTGGCGAACAGCCTGTATCCAAAGAGATGTGACAATTTCACTGCATGCACTGAGCATCCTGTCTGCTCTATTCCACCCTTTTACAATGAGAGAATGAAGTTTGTGGACCATGAGGGCTGCTACAAAAGAAATGGCTCCTATGTTGGTCAGAGGTGGACGCTGGTGAGAGTTGGCAGCAGAAGCTGAACCTTCCCATCGATATTCCATCACATTTTGTTGCTGTGTGATCCATGGCAGCAGAAAGATGGTCTGACAAAACGGTGTCTGACATAGAAGTACATACGGAGCAAATGGTGGGCACGGAATTTTTCTATGCAGAAAAGATGGCACCAATTGCCATTCACCTTGCTGAGCATTTACAGAGACCAAACAGTGCATGTGAGCACAGTGAGGAGAGGGTGGTGCGTTTCAGCAGGTGACAGCAGCTCACCTCCACTGGTGCAGATATTTATAAGCATGTTATGCAGCTCTTGCTCACTGCTGGTGAAAACACACACTTAACGGTGGTGACTACGTTGAAAAACAGTATTTTGCAACTGAGAACTTTCTCAAATAGCGTTATTGCACTTTTGTATTTGTTGGAGTTTCCATGGAAATAGGTAGGTGTATGGGAACTGTTGAGTTCGGGCCTGAACCACTGGTGGATCGCCTGGGGGAAGGACCCGGCCAGCCCTGGGAGCGCAGGTGAAGGAGATTCAGCTGTGTGACAGGAAGGGTGGAGCCTGGCTGCACCTCTCACAGACCTCATGGAAGGGGTGACCCCCACTGGGGAAGGATCTCTGGGTGGAGATTCCCTCTTGTAGAGTTTCCTCGTGAGCCGAGATTTTTGGAGACGGGTGAGCGCTTTCCCTTTGTAACACCGTCCCATCCGCGTTAATCCCTTTTGCTGTTTCACTCCTATATCACCTTTCCACCACGTTAACCTTTCTGACTGTAGCAATAGGAGGCACAACATTCTGAGCGACCTACGCTCTCCCCTTCTGCGCGGGAGCCGCAGCGGAGCGTTCCCACAGCGCTCCGTGCGGGAAGCTTCACTCTGCCTGACCTGCGAAGCACGTGCGCACCGACGGCGCGGCGATACATGAGAGCGCTCCCCGAGCCGCGGCGCTGCTTTCTCATGAACCTCACGCACACCCGCGGACGAATCGCGCTCCCCGCCGTGCTCCGACCGCTCCGACAGCCCGGCACGGGGCGCGCCGTCGGGCTCTGCCTCCGAGCGCCGATCTCCGCTAAAGCCAGAGGAGCGCAGAGGGGCGCGGAGCTGCACCCGGGCTGCACGTGTGGGGCGCGGCGGCTCCGCGCTGCGCGGGTCCGGCGGAGCTTCGAGCCCGAGGGGGTCCGAGCCGGAGCAGCCGGCGGCGGCACAGCCGGTAAGGGGCGGGGAGTTTTTCTCCCTCTGTTATGTTGGAGTCTGTTGGGAAACCGCGTTTAACTCGCGCTTTGCGCCCTGCGTGCTCTTCCCTAGAGGCTTGCTCGGTTCGGGGGGTGAAGCGTTGGTTTGTGTTTAGAGTTCAGATCGTACAGACGGTTGTCGCTGAGGTGCCTTTAAATTCTTTGTGATGAAAGGTGAGCGCTTCTGCAACAGAAAGGGCTGAGCTGGAGCCGTGGGTGCTGCGGCCGCCTGCAGGCACCCGGGGCAGAAGGGCGGGGGAAGGCTGAGCTGGGTGGAATTTCCCTCTCTGATCCTTCGGGTTACTTGGAGTTATCAAGCTGAACGCTTGTTGTATTAAACCGTGGTGCAGAGTGCGTGCACCTCCCCAGGAAAGCAGGATGCTGTCCCTGCTGCACCTTTGCTCTGCTTGAGGCTGCAGCCAGTGCCGAGCTCCAACAATTGCTTCAGCCATGTTTGACTGATACAGAAATTCTTAAGGAGTTCCATGCTGGAAAATCAGGTCACAGCTCCATCATCTCCTTAAGCTCTCCTGTTCCTGAGCCTCTCTTGGGAGAAATAAGCCATGAGGTTGGCCGGGTCAGCAGCTGGGAACACCACTTGTTTGATTTTGGGCTGGCTCAGCTCCTTGGTGTGATAGCACGGGGTCCTCACTGTGGGCCCTTCAGCACCCCGGTGGGCATCCACCCAGGTGGGTGCAGTTCTGGATGCTTGCATTGCTGGGTGAGCATTGCGGCCTCCTGACATCTTGGTGAGTTTCTGCAGCTCCGAGAATGCTGCTTCTTAATCCTGCCCTCCATACGAGATCACTATTTGTGTACACAGCCATGGGGCACAAAAGCAAGGCATCTCCTTGCTGAAATCCTGATGCTTTCCTAACAACTTTCTCCTCCTGTGTGCTGCATAGCTGGATGTAATGGTATGAGTGCTTCTTAAGTTCCTAACAACAACAGATCAATCTGAAATCACCAGAAATACCTAAAAACGAGAAAAGGAGGTTGAGAGGTGAGAAAGTAGTGATTTTTATGCCTGATGAGTTTTCTGATGCTGTGTGCTGGTTTGTATATGCTGTGAGGGTGCTTTTTGACCTGTGTACCTCTTTACTGCTGAGTGTTACCTTTGCTGGGCAGATTGCTTTCTCACTGGAGATGAAACTGAACAGAATTTAGCTGTTTGTTTTTTTTTTTTTTTTTTTTTTTTAGTATGAGATAGACTGAAGTTAACTTCTGATGTGATTTTTCAAGTTCTGAACAACTCCAGGGTAATTGCTGGGGTTAGGTGCATACAACAGCTAGCTGTGATCTCAAAAATGACACCCTAAATGAACTTGTTTAATCTTTCAGCAGAAAAGAAACAACTGTTCTGAAGTATGGGATGAGAGCAGCACCAGAACATCCTTCCCTGAAAGTTGGAGGAAAAGTGCACTCATCTGAGAACGAATAAAAACAACCTGACAAATGCCCATTCCTACATGTGCTCTGTGTAATAATGAGTTAATCTCTCCAGCCCACCTGTGGAGCTATTGCAGCTCCTGGTATGCGGAGGAGTTGGGAGTGCACAGCCCCAAACCAGCGCTGTGCAGAGGCCTCTGCTGTAAGTTCTCCCTGGTGCTGCTCCCTGGGAGCCTGTTGCACCTTTGAGGCTGTGCACCTACAGGCATTGCTCGCAGTGCCAGCTGCATCTTCACCAGCTTCCCAGAGAGCTGAGCAGGTGTGGCTGGTGGGCCACTGCTGTGTCGGCAGTCCGGTGATGCCCTGCTGAGCAATGACCTGTGTTCACCCACCATGCCTCACGTGCTGCTTCCATCCCACCAGGCACAGATAGCAGCTTATCTTGAGGAGTTTGACCGTTACTATTCCTTGACCAAACTCATGTCCATCTACCAAGCAACCAACAGGACTGCCTTCAACTGGACAGACAGCCGCATTGTGGAGTGGGAGAAGTTTGCGGAGCTGGCTCGATACGAGCCAGAATCCCAGAAACCAACTGTGAAGGCTCTCCTGATCGTGGTGTACTCAGTGATTATCATCATGTCTCTCTTTGGGAACGTGCTGGTGTGCCATGTGGTGCTGAAGAACAAGAGGATGCACTCGGCCACCAGCCTGTTCATCGTCAACCTGGCTGTGTCTGACATCATGATCACATTGCTCAACACGCCCTTCACTCTGGTAGGTGGCACGCAGGGCAGTCCTGTTGGCCAGGGGCACTCGCCCCAGAAATGTGCAGTCTGGTGGTTGCTGTGCTAGAACTGAGGTGTGAACCCAACACAGCCAAGCCTAATGGATGGCTCTGCTGCACGGGTAAAGCAACGTCCAGCAAACAGGGGGCTCCCTTGGCTCTGTTGGACTCTGTTTCCTAAAGGACTCTGAAGTCTCTCTAGGTGTGCTGACAAACTGCCGCAGGTCAGGAGAGCTGCTTGGGGATTGCAGAGTGGATGTCTGGGTTTGTCAGAACCGATAACATGCATGCAGCAGGACTGCAAAGTCAAACTTTAAATCCAAGGGTTCAGAACAATGTGGCTGCTGGTCGTAGCTGGGGGAAAAACAGCCAAGTCCCTCACAGTGAGCAGCTAGGTAAAGACTTCAGTGAAAGCCCTCCAGATGTGCAGGGAGTGGCACAGGAGCAGGGCATGGCCACTTTGTCCAAATGTAATTATTGGTATAATAAAGAAGTAATTACTGCTGTTTGTAGATGCTATTTATATGGATAAGCTGGGTGGGCTGCAACAGCACCACTCATTTCAACTCGATATTTTAACTTATAAGCTCTTATGTAAGGGTGCTTCAACATCCCACATTGCTGCTTCGTGGATTTTGGGTGAGCTGCCCAGCAGCCAAAGGGCAGCAGCAAGGTCAGGTGCAGCCCAAGGTGTTCCCTGGGAGTTTGGTTGCTGATGGCTTTTGTTTTCTCCTCAGGTTCGGTTTGTGAACAGCACCTGGATCTTTGGGAAGGCGATGTGCCATGTCAGCCGCTTCGTGCAGTACTGCTCGCTGCACGTCTCCACGCTCACCCTGGCAGCCATCGCCCTGGACAGGCACCAGGTGAGGCCCTGCTCTCCCACACCTTCTTGCACAGCTCCTCCCAAGCCCCTTCGATGCCAGCTGAGCTTTATGTTTGTGGTGGTTAAAGCAAGCTGCCATAGCATGGCTGATAGGTGTGCATGGTTTTGTTTGCAGTGGGGGTCTTGAAAGGCAGCAGAGCCACTGCCAAAAGCAAAGCAGTGGTTCAGCTATGCAGGGGATATTTTCAAGCTTTTCAGCTTTCTAAGTCAAACAGGTAAAACACATCTAACATCCTGACCTTAAATTCTGACCTGATTGCCTGCTTCTTGTGTTCTCAAACAGCACTAGCTGTTTGCTGCACCACTGAGCTGCAGGGTGCTTTGAGGTGGCAGAGGTTCTCAGCTCTCTGCATCAGTAAAAAGCAATCCCAGTTGGTGAAGTGTAACTGCAGGACTGATGCTGGAGCAGCAGGGTGAGGGGCTGCTGTGGGAATACTGGGGGCATGTTGGAGCTGTGAGAAGACATTGCTCATCACTGCCTGCTGCCAGACTGCATCACCTGCCTGCTGCACTGAGCGCTCCATGTATTGCGAGAGCAGGAAGGAGAAGGTAGACCAGGCTGTGCACTTCTATCAGGCACTTGCTCTCCTTTCCTCTACCAAAACAGAATTTTTCATATGCTGAGCTTCTATAAGCTCCTGAAATCTTTTCATCTAACTCAGGAAGCTTCATGAAGGCTAAGCTAATGTCTCCAGATGGGCAGAGGGCTCAGCTCAAATAAACCACGCTTCTTTACGTAATTTATACTGAATGGAAGGATGTACCCAGAAGTGAAGAAATTTGCACAGGATTATTTTTTTCCACTTATTTTTACAAAATTTAAAGAAAATGATTCTCCCGGAAAAGAAATAGAGGAAAAAGTTTATCTGAAAGCACTTCTGAGCAGATTGAGAAATTAACTGTTTCCCATTTTCTAGGTCACTCTGATATGCAGGACTTTCCCCTAATCATGGCTGTTATTTTCTAAATAGCATTAAATCATATATATATATGTATGTGTTATACATGTGTGTGTTGGTGGAAGGACTTTGCTTTCCCATGAGACAAGAGCCTCGTGCAGTCTGTGTTATAGGTCATTCTGAACCCACTCAAGCAAAGGATGTCTCTGACAAAAGGAGCACTGAGCATCGCTGTGATCTGGCTGCTGGCTGCCTGCTTCTCCCTGCCCCATGCCATCTACCAGAAGCTCTTCCAGTACAACTACAGGTGAGCTTTCTGCTCTTAGTGTGGGGGTGGAGGAGTCCCAGCTGTGGGGAGACGTTGCGGCACTCGATGCCATCCGTGGAATTTCTGTGTGTCAGTGAAATCTCATTTCCTGTGGCAGAGGCTTGCCTGCAGTGAAGAGCCTCTTGGCGCACAAGAGCGTGGAACCTCGCTTTGTTTTCATTTTTTCCCAGGAGGAGGCCAGTCTGAGCCCCTCACCCAGGCACAGCCGCACTGTGGGGCGCTCACTGGTTCTCTGTGCCTGGTGGGTTTGTCTCCCAGAGGCTGGCTTCCCCCAGGGTCCATTTCTCGTCCCTTAGCACACTGTCAGCTCTGTAGTCCCAGAAGGACTGTGTCTGTGTGGCCCCATGCGCAGGCAGGGAGGAAACAGAGAGCAGGTGCTGTGGTTTGGAAGAGAAAGTGAACCGCATGTGTAAACATCTGCAGTACATCTGCACTTGCACAGAGCAGGAAAGGCAGGGAGGGGTAGGAGTGCCTCTGAGTCAGCCAGGCCTGAGCCCCAACTTCATGTGCTGATTCATGCATTGTGGCTCCTCGGTGTTTATCCCTGGATTTGTGCAGCAGGGGAACCTTCCTCAAAGCAGGAGGCTGCTCTGCACGGTGTTACATTAGCTGGAGAAGCAGAAGAGAAACACTACTTCTCTTCTTGCAGTGCAGGGCTGATGAGCAGAGCAGTGCTGCAGCAGGGGTGGCAGGTCTGGGTGTGCTGCTGCGCTTGCCTGACAGCACGGGGAGCTCCTTGCTGGGCTGAACACAACGAAAACTTATTGAGAGGAGGGGATGTGGAACTTCAAACCCACCTGAAGTCTTCTGAGGTACTGGAAGAAAGTAAAGAAACAAAAACCAAACTCTTATCTTCCCCTCTGCGTGCTGTCTGCTGAGGGCACTCATGGCTTGGAATGTCTTCCTGCAGCACAGCCATTCCTATCAGCACTGTAGGGGCCCATTCACCTCCTTGCATGGCTTTTTATAGTGGTTGTGGATGGGTTACACAAACGGGAGTGCAGCGTGGGCTTCCACAGCTCCTCCTTGCTCGTGCTGTGATTTATGTGCCCAAGAGGTGTCTTGCAGGGGGATATGAGATCTTCAGCTCTCAGACTTTGTAAACAGAGTGCTGGGTTACTCCAGTGCCCGCACTGCTCTGCAGCTGCGCTCAGGCTATTACCCAACAAATTGCTTATGAATGAACAAATGCCACTATCTCTTTCACTGCACCTGTCAGTGCTCATCCTTCGGTGTGCCTAGAGGAAACCCAGCCTCAGGCTGGCATGGGGCAGTTGGCAATATAAGGACTTCCAGGACACGTTATTTTCATCGTTGTTTTCCATTCAGTAAAAATGCTGGTGGTAATGTCACCAGCAATAGATCCCATGGCTGGGAGCTGACAGCAGCAGGAGCTGCTTCCCTGGGATGTTAGCCAGGAGCCAGGATGCAGCCGTGCTCAGAGCTGTGCCCAGAGCCACGGTGGGCATGTGGCCTCTCCGTGCTGCCCATGTGTGGCTGCGTGTCCTGCTGAGTGGCCTTGGGTCCTCCATGTCCTCCACGTCCTCGTGTTCTCAGTTTGCTGTGCCCTGCCTTGCACGCACCTTCAGTGCTGCCCATTTCCAGTTAACCTTCTATTTGTGGCACAAAAGCCAACTCCGAAAGCTGAGAACATGATATTACAGGTATTAATCAGTACTGCAGCAAATAGTGCAGCTTGATGGAGACAAGCGGACAGAGGACAAGGTTTGAAAAGGGCAAAGTGGAACAAGAGGAAAGAGGCAGGGACACAAGGAAAGAAGAGGAGAAAACATCACCAGGAAATAGATCTGTGAGTGTCCCTTTCTCTTAATGCATTTTTGTTTTCGATGTCTGCAGGAACACTCAGTGTTCCTGTTCTCTGTGGTGTGGAGGTGCAGTGAGAAGTGCCGACAGAGCACGGATCTGTTGTGCTGAATTGAATGGATGAGTTGTATTTAATTAATCTGTCAGATATGAACATCCTTGTTTTGTCTTATCTAGTCACCAGAAGTTAAAACAGAGTTTAAGTTAAAAAAAAAAAAAAAAAAAAAAAGCCCTCAGGAGCAACTTTTTGTCGTTCTAAGAGGATGTGAGGGCCTCACTGAATTAAAATCTGCTGCAGCTTCCGAGGGGGAGCTCTGCACTGTCTTTCTCAGGTTCTCTTTTTTTGGGACAGCAGAATAACGTAGGGCAGAAGGCAGCAAAAGCATGCAGAAACGAGCATAAGCCTCAGGGTGATGGGCACAAGGAGAGGGTTTTCAGGGAAACAGCTCTGATTGACCTTTATCACTTGAGATGAGCAATATCTGCCCCTTCCCTGTTGGCACCACATAGGCTGTGTCTATGGGGCTGCAAAAACCTCAGCACGTTTTGCCAAATGAGCAGCGCCCATCCGCACGGCCACGTCCTACACACACACCTCCTTGTTTTCAAGGGAAGCCACCGTGCGGAGTCTGTGCCTCCCGGATTTCCCTGAGCCTGCAGAGCTGGTCTGGAAGTACCTGGACCTGTCCACCTTCCTGCTCCTCTACCTGCTGCCGCTGCTCGTCATCACCGCCACCTACACGCGCCTGGCCAAGAAGCTGTGGCTGCGCAATGCCATCGGTGACGTCACCACGCAGCAGTACGTCGCCCACCACAGGAACAAGAAGAAGAGCATCAAGATGCTGGTGCTGGTTGTGGTGGTCTTTGCTGTCTGCTGGTTTCCGCTCAACTGCTACGTAGTGCTCATCTCCAGCCTGGGCATTAAGACCAACAACTCGCTCTACTTTGCCCTGCACTGGTTTGCTATGAGCAGCACCTGCTACAATCCCTTCATTTACTGCTGGCTGAATGAGAGCTTCCGTGCGGAGCTCAGAGCCCTGCTGTGCATGTGCCGGCACACAGCTCAGCCGCGCAGCGCCGCGCAGCCGCCCCTGGCCGCGTCCTGCCGCGAGGCCTGGGGGGAGCGAGCTGGGTGCACGAAGGGGCCCTCATCAAACAGCGTTTGCTCCGCTGTGCTCATCCCGACAGCCAACACTGACCTGTGAGCAAGGGTGGCAATGGACGGAGTTTGGCACACGTCTGAAAGAAGGACCCTTGTAGCCAGGTGAACCTTATCTGTAGGGATTCCCCCAGGTAATTCATACTAAAGCCTCCCAGCTGAGTGCAGGTGTAGCAGAAATGCTAACTCAGGGCTTGAAGAAGTGATGCAGCACCTGGTGGGAAGGCAGGGCCAACCGGGGGAGCTCAAGTCAAACAATGCCACTGAGTGGTGGAAGGGATGGATCCAGGATCCACTCCTGCCCAGACCTCATTGAAGGGCTGGCAGTGGAGGTGAGGGTATCTCTCTGGAGATCCCTGTGTACTTGAGGCCTTGTAAAGGTAAACAGCTTTTTTTCTGTAGATTCTGCATCCAGGGCTGCTGCACTTGGGCTTATCCTAGCTTGCTGCAGCCAAAGTCCTTTGTAGCATTACAGCAGGGTAAGGGGAAGTCAGCGGTGGGTGTCACACTGAGTCCTGCTGCTCCTCCTGCCCTGCTCCCAGCCCAGGCTGTGTGCTGGTGGAGCAGAGCACTGTATTGGGGCTGTAGAGCTCCATCTCTATGTCAGACCTCGTGTCATTTGGTTCACTGAGAATTTATTTTAATTTCTGTTAAATTACGTTGCAAACAAACCTACAGGCACTGAATTAAAGGCCACAAAATAATTCATCAGGGCTGTAGCATTCAGCAACTGGAGAATTAAATAATTCTAGATAATTACTAATTGTTGTGGAAGAGATTCATTGAGGCAACTGAATTGAATCACAGTTAAAGGGGAGGCTTTCTACAGTTTTGAGAAGAATAGCTTGATTTAGCTGTACTTGGGAGGCAAATGGAGAAAAGAAGACAATAAAGGAAAGAGGAAAAAAATACAGAGAGACAAAGGATATCAAAGCAGACAGAAACCAGATTTGCTGTGTGACTCTGCTTGCAGTGTGGAACAGAGGCACAGAGAAGCAGTGCTCCTGCCTGGCCATGATGCCCCTTCCCATCGCACTGCTCCTCAGAAGCTGCATGGGGGCTGCAGGAGCCATTTCTGCCTGCACATTTCCAGGTTGTGCTTGGGTGAGGGGTTGCTCAGCTGTAGAAGGCTGCTGCTAAGCTTCTCCAGTATGTTCTTACAGGAGCCCTTAAGAAAACAAGGTTTACTCCCTATTTGTCGATAGGTAATGGGGTTCAGGCCAGGTGATAAGCAAAAGAAAAGGTACCCAGTGCCTAGTGCTGTAGCAGTGGTGCTAAGTGAACCTTGAGAACAGCCTTCATTGGGTAATGAGCAGGCAAGGGCTCAGTGACCCACAGAGTTTTTTGCTGCTCATGGCTGTTCAGCTGATTCTGATACCCATTGGCATCATCTATGGATTGCAGTTTGGCATTCACCTGGAATTTCAACCTGCAGGAGCACATCTCTTATGGGCTATTTATATTGTCCTGACCAAAAATACCCACAAAAGCGAATGTTTCCCAAAGAAACAATCGAAAATGGAAAGCTACATCCTGTCCCCAGAAGCATTCTGTAGCAGCACAGGAGCTGGAATGGGAATGGCATACTGGCACTGGCTCATGCACGGCTCCTAATGCAGCCTGCAGCCATCAAGGGCACTGGCAGAGCCAGCTTGGTGCTGGGTCCCACCTGGAGATGGTGCTGGGCCAGCGTGCAGCAAAACAAGCCGCCTTTTGTTCTGGTCACAGAGAGCTTAAAAAGCATGGCTATATGGCAGGGGGGACCCAGACACCTGCAGAGCACTGTGAGAGCATAAGGCTGCTCCAACCCTGTGTTCCTCAAGGCAGGAATTTCAGACATACACCCACAGGCTGCTGCTGCTGATGGGCTGATGTTTGTTACGTGCTGCTTCACGCAGTCTGAAGGGTCAAAGAAATCCCACAGAAATGTGCTGCCCCAAGGCAGAGGTCCCTTAAACCAAATCTAAATGTCCAACTTGATCCCACTGTGCATAAAGCACTGTGTGCACAGTGAGAAGATGAGCTCTGTCTTTTCATGTTTTCTTTCAACGTTCTTCTAGCTCAGGCTTCGATGAAATAACCATGGCAACAGTAGGAACTCTGATCATTTCATGAGAAATATTAAGCTATGGCTCTCGCTGTAATTCTGAAATGAAAGCTGCTGTGCTGCAGACTAATTCTGGAGTATGAGCTGACCCTGGGACTGGATACCACCCCGAGGCTGTTTTGCAGGGCGGATGGGCAGAGGATTTCAGTATTGGACATTCAGCACTGAGACTGCAGTCCCTCAGACAGAGCCCCCTCAGAGCCCTGCCTGGTGCTGGCACTGCTGTCAGCCATGCAGGCATCAGAAGTCTCTTAGAAAGATCTGAAGCTGAGACCATCTGTGAGATTTATTAGTGTTCTTTTTTGTCTTTCCTTTCTTTAAATGGCTTTGTGATCTTTCTCTGGAGGAATTGAAGATCTCGGTCCAAGCAGCAGGTCTCAGCTCATGCCTTGGTCTCCTGCCAGTCCCCTGCCACGCACATGGCTGTCTCTTGCTGTGAGGAGTAACTGAGCCTTTTTCCCTAGATCTGTAAATTGTAACACGTCTGTATTGCTGAGCTTTTCTCCCCTAAATGGGCACAATGTAGGAGCTGACTGTACTGCAGCTCTGTAAGGACTTTGCTATCTGGGCTGGTGACTATCACTGCCTGATTGAAATTCAGAGCCTTGCAGCCCGTTGCCCAGAGGCCCCGTATCACCTGAGGATGCCCCAGCATGACAGCACTCACTCAGCAGCTTGCAAGAAGAGGACGGGATGCATGGCAGCTTGGTCTGGCAGTTGGTGACCCTGCACGTGGCAGGGGGGACTGAAACTAGATGATCACTGTGGACCTTTTCAACCCACGCCATTCTATGACTCTATTATATGAAGGAGGCTGAGTGGAGTTATTTGGCTGAAGGTCACGTCTGCTGTGCTGCAGGCACAGGGCTTGTGGCAACAATTGGAGGGCAGCGGAACTCGGAGGGCTCTCCTGGCTGAGGACTGCGACAGGCAACAATACTCCTGCAGTGGCTAAAACCAGTCAAGGTCAGAGCCCGCGCAGCAGGTAAATGGATGCTGATGTGCTGCAGTCATTGCTTCGCCTTCAGACACTGTGTGTGGGTGGGAACCACCTTATAGAAATCTGCTGCACAGAAACTGCCTGAGCGCAGGCAGCGTGCAGAGATCCAGCAGCGATGTCTGAGTGATTCACAGCCCTGCGTTTCTTGAGTTAGCTCATGCCAGATGCATCCAACTGCCTACAGCAGAGCTGCTGATGGAGGCGATAACAGCACAGCATGGAGGATACCTGAATTCCAGAGACAAATCCCTTACACGGCCTTGCTGCACAATGAACAAAGAAACCGCCGAATGCCAAGCAGATTAGTAAAGCAAGGCAGAAAGAAATGCACAGTGAGTCATAAGATTAGCTCAGGAAGGAAAAGCAGAGCAGAACTATTAGCAGTTAGCTCTCCAGGTAGAAAACAGCAGTTTTCTGAGTCTGTTTGAAGGAGTACATGGGAGTGTTCTCAGGTGCAGATCAAGCCCTGGCAGGTGGGAACACAGCTGGGTCAGTACCAGGGCTGCCTGTCCACTTGCACTGCTATGAAACCAGCAGCCTTGTCCATCCTCAGGCTGAGAAAGGAGAGGGAGAAGAACCCAGATTTCTCACAGGGGCACTCCCAGAAGAAATAGCTGGGAAATGGTGAACAGAACTCAGGAGGGTGCAGCAGGGGATGGCTCTCTGCACTTGCAGGGCACAGCTCTGCCCTCTCACAGACCAAAACCAATGCCCATCTCCCTCAGCTATTGCCTCCTGCACTGTGATGGGGAGAGCAATGCCTCTGATCTGCCTAGCTTTGGGTGAGGCCCAAGCAGGAGTACTGGAGGGATGAGGGCTGGGTTTTATGCCAAGCATAACACCGCAGCCAGCTCTGGGTTTGATTCAGAATTTCAGAGCTCAGCAGTAACCCCAGATCCGTGCATGTCCCTGTGCTGTCCTGAGGCCCGTTTCCCAGTGCTCCCGAGGCCTTCACTGTTCCCTGCCAGCCCGGCAGCTGTGCCAGTGCCCGTTCTGTTCCATTGCCCTGAAATAGTGGATGGGGCAGGCAGGAGCAGCTCCCGACCACTGCAGTGCATGGGAGTCTGCAGGAGAGATTCCTTGGGGCTGAGGTCTCCCTACAGACCAAGCAGCTGTGCTTTGTGTCCCACCATCCCACTCCCCGGCAGTGATCTCTCCTTTGCTGCCAGCAGCCGGGGTTAAGATAACACTTTAGCCCATGTAATGCAGATTTGCATCCCCGAGCCAGGCGTTGCTCATGTTCCCTGGTCCGCCAGGAGCCTGCAGTGCTCCACTGCCCATAGCAAGCTGTGAATGGTGGCTGTCACCCACTGGAGTGATGGGGAGAAGAGGAAAATTGAAAACTCAACAGGCTGAGTCCTGCAGGAACCAAGTGCTTGGTCCGACCACACAGGTGTTTGCCACTTAGAGAGACTTCTTTTGTTCCTGTCACAGCCCACATTAAAAAACCTCCTTGGCACATAAGAACAGACGAATTGACTTATAAAATCAGATTGACAGACCATCTAATTTATCTGCTGGAGAGAGAAACTATTGCTTTGTGGGAAACCATAAGGAACAATTAGAGGGAGCATCCACGTAAAAGGAATTCCTGCTCACTGACTTGCTGTTAGTATTGCTGTAGTGTCTGTAAGTTGTACCTCCTCCTCCCGTCTTTCTGACGTACTGCAGGTATCCCTGTCACACAGCAGCCCACACCACGTCCACCCACCCTCGCGTGTTCTCGGAGGGAGGCTTTCACTCAGGCAGGAGCTCAGCTGGCTGCTTGGAGCTGAAAGCAGCGCAGTGATTTTCAAGATGTGATCACTGACAGCTCCGCATCTGCAAAGTTCTGTGGCTTGTGTTTCTAATTGGTTGGAAAGAGAGGTGCTGGGGTACCGCCAGCTGCTGTTGCTCTGCCTCTCCTTAGGGGCTGCACAGCACATAAAGCAGCCTGTCGTGCAGATTTCTGCTGCATGCTGCAGATTATTCTTCTTCTGAAGCTCAAGGGTTAATTTAGCAAACCCACAGTTAAAGTCAATTTGAAAGTAATATTGCCTTATGTTGTATTAAAAACCATCTTGCTGAATGGCGTTAAATTGTCTTTTACATACTGAAATGTAATATTCTTCTGTCTTTCACAGCTTGCAGGGAGTAATGTGGAAATATTACATTCGTCCTTTGGTTGAATGGTGCTGGCTAATAAACATGAATACTGATTGGTTGTTCAGACATCTCAGCTATAGATGAGAGCGAGCTGCTAATGAACACTGACTCTTTTGGTCCCCAGCAGCCAAACCCCTCAGACACCATCACGTTCCCCCTCCTGGCACTCTGAGATGGGCAATGTTCATTGCATGCCTGCTGCCCATGTGCAGTATTTCCGGCAGGGAGCTGAAGGACTGTACCTTCAAATAGAATTCTCAAATAAAACTTTTGCACTCTACATTGCTGGCTACCTTTTGGGGATTCATTTCTAATTTGAGGGCAGTTTATTTATTTATGATGTGATTCATGGTGCAGATGGAGAAATGGACAAAGGCAAAAAAGGGAAGAAGAGACTCTGAGCACCGGTGATAAACACATCATCCCAGCCCTTCCAGCAGCCATTGGTGTGCCTGCTGCCACAGCCTGCCCACATTCCCCAGTCAACTTCTGCCTCCTGGCAACAGTCAGTAATTCAATAATATGCTATAAGACATGTTTTCACTCATGTGTAGTTGCCTCTGTGTCCTGCAGGGAAGAAGTAATGCGAGAACCGCACACACACGGGAAAACTGGAGAATGGAAAATGGAAAACGGTGTGAATGAACAATAGAAAGTCATCTGTGTGGAGGGAGAGAAAGAAAGGCACCTTGGGCCTGGAAATTCAGCTCTTATGGATTTAAGTCTTTGTTTTCAGCAACCAAAATGTAACTGACTTCTCTCAGCTCTGCGAAGGAGATGGGAAGGCCTGGCAGACAGGGCTGTGGCCATCCTTCAAAAACACAAACTGAGATTTGATGACCAGCTTTCTGTTCAGCTTCTCTCTCTGAGTTCTCCTCTCCCCTGCTGTGGCTGCCTTGTTGGGTGCTGCAGCATTACCTGCTGCAAAGCAGGTGTTGAAGCCGTGGCCACAGCCACCTCCCAGGACCACGGGGCTGCGCAGGGCCACTCCCCAGGGGTGGCATTGCCCTGAACTGCAGCCCACACGGCATAGAGGGCATTGGACAATAGGGAATCAATCAGACACGCTGATGGCAGAAGTAGAGGGGCTTGGGAAATGCACTCTGATCATTTATGAGCAGTTTTTGTAACCGTCACATAATTGCACGTAATCAGGCATCATTGTGTGCTAATGAGCAGCTGTGCCACGTTAAAGCCTGGCAGAGCTCCTGCTCTGTGCACTATGGGTGGCTTCGCTGCCTTGCTGGGCACTCCCCAGGGCTTTGGTGCCAGGTTGCTCCTTGCCTGCTTCTGCCACATGGCACATGCTCCAGCAGGGCAACTGCAGGCTGTCCTCCCACTGTGCCCGTGTTCATTCCTGGTGCCTCCTGCACTGCTTTGCTGGTGCAGATGCAGTCAGTGAGGCACGCTGGACCGGGCGGGTGTTCCTTATGCCACGAGCAAGCTACATTCATACAAGAACCTATGAAGCATGAGAGAGTTTGGGCAAGTATAATAGCTTTAATTAAAACAGAAAACCATATCCTTCATTCTAGTAATTATTTTAAAGAGCAGACCAAGTGCAGGGGCATGAACAGACTTAATGAGGGCTGTAATTACGGAGCTGGAAGAACAACCGCTCCTCGGCGAAGCTGCAGAGCGCAGCTCTTTGGGCAGCATTTGGGGGCTGTTTGCTGCCCTCCCATCCCCACGCCTGGGGACACACGAGCCCCGCACAGCACCTCACCCAGCCCTGCACAGCTCAATGAAAACTCACCGAGCACCTCCACTTCTGGGATTTATTTAACTACATGTACACAGCACCGCGTCTGGGTGGAATGTGGGGAACAAACACCCCGTATTTAACAAAAACTTAAGAGCTTCAGCTGCTGTTTCATTTGAATACAGACAACATCCCCCAAAAAGCCAACAATGGAAACAACTAAGCTTCAGAACTATAATGCTAATGACGTAGGATTTACAAAAATATAAATAACCCATTCACAACCGAAATAACACCTCCCATAAAAATTAACAAGTATTCCTAGAGGTAAACCATGGCTATAGAACATTATTTATTTTCAGAAAAGCACCAGAATCTGCAATGTTAAGTCATCTAAACAAACCATGGTGCATCTCTCCTTAGCATTTGCAGACTTCTGAAAGTGTGCCCATGCTGATCAAACAGATTTCTGCAGCGCTGCCTGCTCATGGGACAGCACAGTGAAGGTACAATTCTCATACGCACCCTGCTCAGGAATAGCACCCAAGGATGCACTAATTACTTGTTCACTTTAATAGGATTTATGTACATGCCTATTTTTTAAGTGTGCTTAGGAGCTTTCTGAACAGCACTGGACTGAAACCCATCGTGTAAATTCTTCCTGTAGATCAGACTTCCAGACAAGCCTGGTGTCAGAACAATTGCTCGTTGCAGAAATCCACTGCCCAAGAGTGTTTCCATTGTTCAGTTCCAACTAAAGTTTGCACAGATGCTGAATTATTTTATTTCTTTCAACTTTCATTGAGCCGTGCCAGCTTGGCACCAGCAGCTTCCTGAAGTTGAAACGCAAGATCCAGCGCTATGGGAACTTGTTTCCCTTACATTCCAATTGTTGTGCTGAAAATACTATTAAGGAGAAAAATCAGAAGTCAAGTATCAAGCCTATGGGTTCCCAGCTAATGAAATCCACGCTCGCCCACCTGCCCAGCAATGGCTGCCATCTGCCCGCGTCCAAGCTGCAGACTCATGGCCCCATCTTTGGGCTCCTGTGGTCCCCCTCTTCTGAGGGCTTCAGCCGGGCAGTGAGGAGCAGCCCTGCAGGCTCTGACAACGTGCCTGCATGACTGCGGCTGATGTGAGCCCGCTGCCAGCGCAGGCTGATGGCGGCCATGGGCAGCCCTATGGCAGAGCACTGCGGCAGACATGGAGCACCGCCCGCGGCGGCTCACAGTGACAGCAGCTCTGAGTGGGCCCCAGCTGGCCCGGGGCAGCGAGCACAGTGAACAGCTATAAAGTTACAACAGCTAAAATGCGGCGACCGGCCCTGCGTGCCGCCTCCTCAGCACCGTGGCAGAGGTAGGTTCTGAACGTGAGCAATACTGCTCAGGCATCACACAGCTAAATATCAAAGTTCCCCTTAAAAACTATCATGAGAATGGGGCTGATTTCTTTGAAGAAGGAAAAAACGAACAAATCTTTTTCTGTCCAGAGCCCACCTACGTCAGCAGAAATGCCCAAGGAGGGCATGAGGGACAGAAGCCACTGTCCCTGTGAGGCTCTGCAGCACGCACTGCTGTGCTCTCATTAACTGCTCTGTTCCTAATTCACGGCAGTGCTGCAGTGCAGCAGCCACAGCCTGGTCCCCACCAGCGGGCAGAGAAAGGAGCTCCTGAGGCACAGTGTGAGGCACCAGCCCGGCTTCACCTCCAGAGCCACAGCTGATATCTCAGCCGCGTGATCGCTCCTGCTCAAACAGGTGACCTCATCGTTGTGAAGTGCGTCCACAGAGACTAAATATTTGATTCTGTTAAGCAATTAATCCAATACTCCATCCTTGCTGTAGATGAACCTCGGATGAAGAAAAAAAGTTTAGCCCCGGGTCCCTGCACTGTGTTTGCACCAGAAACACTTTCCCTGATGGCTCTGTAACAGAACAAGCACATCCCCAGAGCCTGGTTAGCCTCAGTCAAAAAGGGTGCCAGGTCTGACTGACATCTCTGGTTCCCATAAAGAAAGAACAATGAAACAACCACAGCTCTGGAAGATATAAACAGCGGGAGACAAAATGGTACATCCAGCAGAGCTGCCCATGCCTCCTGTTATCTGACCACATCCTGAGCACGTTCAAATCTTAACAGCCTTTAACAAGAGAAAAGGAGGAAAAAAACAAACCAGAACATCTATTAATACTGCTGTTGGGCAGAACTGAGGGAGGGCTGTGTTCCCAGAAAGTCGTGCACTTTTTCCAAGCACCGTGGTCAGATAAGAAGCAGAGCCTGGGGATGCCCCGGCAGTGGAACAGTGCCACTTGCTGGCAGCCACCGCACCGCTGGAGCGGCCAGGGACAGCACAGCCAGCCAGAGGGGGGGGATGCAGCGCTCAGAGCCAGCTGCAGCCTTCGACAGGGACATAGCTTGTCCCACAGGCCCAGGGGCACAGGCACTCAGACCAACAGCCATCTGGCTGTGAGCAGCAGCTGCGAGGAGACAGCAGCACCAGGAAGGACAGAAATGGCCCGAGATGTCCACCAGAACCCATGGGTACAAGCAGCAAGATCAGGGCAAGGGGAGAAAGTCAGGCAAGGAAATGGACTCAGCAGGCACAAAATGGTGTAGAAAGAGGGGAGAAACAAGACAGGCTCATTTTCCCCAGTATATCACTGGAGAAACCCTGACCTAAAGGCACTTCCCACTGATCTCCAGCAGGATTGGGTGCTGTCCTGGCTCAGTGAGCACCAGCATAAGGCCTCCCATCAGCGCCTCAAGGTCACCTTGCTGCCCAAATCCCTGGGTTTATCAACTCACAGCACGGTTTGGTCAAAGCACTGAGATGCTCAAGATCCGAGCTCACAAGGTGCAGGCACCAGGACACACGCATGCACACTTGGGCAGAGCAGACAGCTCAGCACCACATGGTCCTGGTGCAATTGGCAGTGCACTCTGGGCTGACACCTCCTGCCCACCACGCGGCAACCAGCTCCCAGCCTGGCGTCGTAGCACCTACTGGAGCCGGGCACGGCACAAAGATATCAGCTCAGAGAAGCTGAGCGACGGCTCAGACAGCACAGCCAGGGAGGTGAGGTCCCACCAGCACCGCTCAGCTGCCGCGCCGTGACCTCAGCGGTGCAGGCATCCCTGCTGGGACAGGCATCCCCGCCACGGCGGGGCCGGGCGCGTGCCGGGCATCTCCCCCAGCTGACGAGGCCCTGCATTCCGCCCTCCCCCGCAGGGCCGCTCCCCACCTGCTGTGCTGGGATTTGCCCTCCACAAAAATCCTGGAGCGACGGACTTGTGTGGGCACTGCTGCCTGAGGCAGGGCACGGCGTCCTGCTGAAAGTCACTCCGCTGTGGGACACAAACCCCACTTGTCGGAAGGCTCTCTGGAAGCCCCTGATGTAGGCAGCACAGAGCACGGGGGCAGCCACCAGCCCTGCAAGCTGCCCCATAGCACTGCGCCTAAACTCAAAGGGAGTCTCACACAGGCAAATGGCTGCAAGCCCTGACAAATCCATCAGGAGCAAATTAAATGTGGAAGGGTGTTCCCTCCCTAACAGCTACTTCCAGAAATGAGAAAATTAACTCAGAAAAAAAAAACCAAAACACCAAAAAACCCCCACCAACTTAAAACAAGCCTGCTCTGCTGTGATTTGCACAGGCACTCCAGCACTCCCCACACTGCAGTCCCGGTCACGAGCTTCGGCCTCCAGCCGGCCCAACGTGCCTGGCAGCAGCCGAGCACCAGCTGCACCTTGCGGTGCTGCAGAAGGCAGTGAAGGGTCCTGGCCTCTGGCACTCCACTGCACCGCACAGCAATGCGGGAGCCACACCGAGTGGGCAGCAGGTGGATGCACTGCACAGCACAGGTGGTCACCAGCAGACTGGGGAGCAAACACACTGCCCTGGGCAGGGAGCAGCACAGCGCTGCATCCAACACAAACCCACATCAAAGTATTCCGGTACTTTAAGAAAACTGTACTCCTTTAAGAAAACCGTACCTCTTCAAGTAAAGGAAATGAATTTAAACACGCCAAATGCTGCAGTGCCACTGAGAATGACTGCGTGACTCCCAGCCACACAGTGATGGTCATGCAGGTCCTCCTCCAGGATCTGCATCTCCAGTGCACAGAGAGCAAAATACAGAGAACAGAGATTCAACTCAAAGTAGGAACAGGAATCCAGAAAAACAAAGTAGGGGCCAAAGGAAAAAGTTCTGAAAAACTGGAATGGGAGAGAAGTGATTGTTGGCCCTGTCAGTGAGCAGTACACAACTGAGGAGAAGCCAGCAAACATCAGCACTGTTGGTGTGGAAGACACCCCGAGGCCTCCAGAGACCCCTATGGCTTGTTGCTCAGGCAGAGGAAGGAGCTGGGAAGGCAATCTGCCATGACCAAGGACCTCACAGAACTGATCCCAAAGCCAACAGCTTGCAAAGAACTGGGCTTACTACCCACCAACAGGCACAGCATCTGTGACATTGCTATGCTGCTGGACATGGGAGTAAGTACAGCTGAAGAAAAAAGAATTGCAGGAGCTGAGCACAACCTCCCCAGGAGTGAGAGCTGTGAGAATGCAGTGCTGTCACCTCCCCAGCTCCTCTGCTCTTCACCTAGGAAGGATGCTCCTCCTTGCATGCTTCTATTCCACAATGCAAAGACCATCTCCATATACTTCCCACATGCACATTAGAGAGATGACGTGACCACAGGGCTACCAGATCCTCTCCCGTACCAGTACACACAGTGCTTGCAGTTTCCTCTGTCCCTTCCCTGACTTCTAGCACTGGCGGCCCTGGATCTGGCTGAGAGCAAAGTGGTCGCACAGCAGAAGCAGGGCGTCGAAGCGCTGCAGCCGCTGCAGAGCCTGGGCCAGCCGAGGGATGGTGACGGTGTCTCCCGAGTAGGTGAGGTGAGCGACGAGCTGCTCAAATCCAGAAATCCGGCCCAGCAACTGAGGCATGACTCCCAGCTCCAGAGCCACGTGGCTGAAGTTCTTCACGCCGTTCAAGGAAGGGTCTAACAAGAAAGCGAGTGACTGTACCAAGGAATGGGGCAGATCTGCAACAGGGAGACCTGGGGATGGCAGTACAGCAAAGTGGGGTTAGAAAGCGCGTCCAGCTTGGGTGAAAAATCAACAGTAGCCAGATTCAAGCCCCATCCCTGATGAACAGGTAGAACATCTACCTGCCATAGCAGGTTTCTCCTCCAACATTGCTTTCAGAGCACAACAGCACAGAGCTGGGTCAGTCCTGGAGAGGCTGGTAACAGTGACAACCCACCCTCAAGCCACTTCAGGCAGTACTACAGAAAATCTGCCCTGGAAACTAAAGGTTATGAAAGGTAGCCAAACTTCTGTGGTGAGTGGCACCTCCATGCAGCCAGGATGGGCTTTTGGAGGAGCTCCTTTGTGAAATCTGTCTGCTACCTCAATATATAGTGAACAAAGATGAGTCTGGAAGCCACTTACCCTTCATTGTACTGCTGATCTGAGTCACAAGGCTCTGGGCATCATTCACCTGGCAAGATAAAGATTCCAAGGTTAGGGACAGTGACAGCAGCAGCGATGCCCATCACTGCTCCAAGGCCCATCATGGAGGTTTGAAGGATCGGCACTTGTCCTTCCAGCACTGCTGCCCTGTGAGCTAACAGCCTCTGAGGGATGTTCCTGGGCTCCCCAGCAGCAAACTGCTTCCACAAGCACAGTCTGGGAGCTAGGCTAGTAAATAGCCAATAAATGCTTTTATATTATTTTAAAGCAGACATCTATGATTTTCTGAACTTCAGTTATGTTAATGATGGGATTCATCACAAGCTAACCTGTGCGAGTTACCAAGCTAACCAGCTGCTCCAGGGCTCCTGCCTGGCCCACAGACAGCATCCTCACCCGCTCCAAGCAAGCCATGAAACAGCTGGCAAATTGGCTGTGGTGGTTACCACAGTTACCCCAGATGCAGTGATCCCAGCTCCCAGGAACCCGCGCTCCCTGAGCACCAACCTCCATCCCGAGGCACAGGCTGTGTGAGGGCTGCTCACGGTGCAGACTTACCTGCCGCTCCCTGCTCTCGGCAGCAGGGCTCTGCATGGCAGGGCTCTGCATGGCAGTGGACACATCCCTCACTGGGCCCATGCTGAGCCCGCTGCCGGCCTCCAGTGCCGCGCTGCCGCTCTCCTTGGGGGCTGCCCGGCTCCCCGCCTGCTCCGACCGCTCACTGCCCACAAACTCCATCTGGGAGGAGAATTTCTGCAGGTCGAGTTCGGTGCACTCCACCGGGGTGTGCGGCCACTTGTGCTGCATCTCAGAGGCGCAGGAGGAGAGCGGGGCCAGGGCTTCTGCTGGGCCCGACCTGAGGTCGGAGGTGGCCATGGCGGTGGCCCGGCGCTCAGCACAGCCCCGCATCAGCGGCTGGCTCTCCAGGCCGCTCCTGGCCAGCTGGCCCTTGGGCACAGGGCTGCCCGCCACGGCCGGTGGCAGCTCCAGCTCAGGCTGGGCAGGTGGCAGCTGGAGACCGATGGCTTCTCCCTCTGAAATGAACTGAACCGCTTCTACTGGGCCTGGAATTGGAAAAGACTGCAGCTCAGTACAACCCAGCCCTGCCCGTCCCACCTCCCAACCGCACCCTCAGTCCTTTGCCCGGCACAGAGAGGCTCAAAAGCCCCTCTGCAAAGCTCCGTCCTGTCTGTGCCACCCCTATGACAGCAAGGACACAGCTGGGCAGAGGCTGGGAGCAGCTGCAGCCCAATTTGAGTGTGCCTGGTACAAAACTTGTATGTGGTTTTTAAGAGAAGCACCAAACTATCCAGCTCTTTGCTCCTTCACAAAGTCTCAGCACTTCTTAAGACAGTGAGACTGGGAGCCCAGCGCGTCCACCCTTCCCTCAGAGCACACAGAGCCATGGTACCTTCTGTCTGCCTGTAGCAGGGGCTGAGGTTCTTCATGCCCAGGCAGCAGGGACCAGACATCTGCTCCTCACATAGAAACCTGCCGGGCACTGCTGAGGTGGGGAACATCGCACGCTGGCCTGAGAAGTTCTGCGTCCGCAGGAAGACTTGGACATAGAGAAGAAACAGTGAGCAAGGGCTTGGCTTGTGGCCCCAGCATGCCCTCAGCTGCAGGGAATGTCAGCCTGAGAGGACCTCCAACACGTGGCCGCTCCAACACCCCCATGTGGGGCCATGCAGCACTCCCTCCCACCTCAGCGCCTCCCAGCCCTCATCCTGCAAGAACCACTCAGTATCCACCTGCCCTTGAGACACCACAGCAAGAGAGAATGCCAACTTTGACAGTGAAATTACATTCTACTGCTGCTTATGGTACAGGGGCCAGGGAGGCTCCTCAGTATCCTTGTGCAGACACAAGAAAGCAAAAGAGAAACCTCCTAAGAAGCAGGATGAGGTATTTATTCTCTGTGAACAGAGGAATGTTTGGTTGACTTTCAAGGCTCGAGGCAATGCCCTACCCAGCAAGGAAGGGGCCTGGAACGTGTGCAAACAGCAAAGGCAGAAGGGAGACATGCGTGGCATGCACAGACTCACCTCGCTGGCACTGGCTCTTCCAGAACCGCTTGCAGTAAATGATGGAGAGGGCCAGAAGCACCAGCACGATGATGACCAGGGCACTGCTGGTCAGAGCAAGCAGGGCTGTGTCCTGTGGCGGCACGGTGGGGACTGCCACTTTCACCAGGTTTGTTCTGGACCGACCTGCACACAGCGGTCTGAGCTTTACAGCCTGACCAGAGGGTACAATGCTTCAGACCACCCTCCCTGCCCCATCCCCCTTCACATGTAGTGAACACACTTCTTCCAGCACGTCCATGTGGGACACGGGCTCAGTGTTGCAGAGAGCAAACAGCATCTCTACAATGGCGCAGGAGCACACCTGAGCAGCTCTGACATGCTCATGCCAGCTTTGTGTGGCTTCCTGCCCTGTCCTCCCACCTCCCGCACTCACAGGGCCGTGCCACCTACACTGGGGCTCGGAGGAGGGTGTCTGCTTGGTACAGGGGATGCACTCCCAGTCCAGCTGCCCACTGAGCCGTGCCTTGCGGTAAAACCTGTGAGAGAGCAGAGCGGGTTGTCAGCAGGGTCAGAGCCGGCCCTGCTGCAGGCAGCGACCGAGAGCTCCTTCATGCTGCAGCATGCCGGGATGGCTCCAGGCACCACGACTCCCTCAGACGCCAGCTAAGCAGCGCTCAGAGCTACTCTTCACTTCTGTAGCTGTTTTGCCAAGGAGTGACATCATCCGGAGACGGCCTACCTCCCCCTCCCTGGGTCTCGCTAACAGAGGCGGTGGTGATTAATGGCTCCACGAAACCACAAAAAAAACTTCAGCCAGCAACTCCATCTGGGAAGAAACTCAAAATCCTGAGCTCTGACATTCCTCTGTTACAAACCACACTGCTCACGAGCAAACCATCTGCAGCTCTTTGGTCCTTCATGGGCAGTCTGTACAGAGCAGTCTTGGCTTCACAAACTCCTTAAAAAAATCAGCTGAGGTCAACAGCCACAGAAACCACAATGTCCTCCTATGCTGCGCTCAGGGTGTGGTTCCCACCCTCTTCTTTGGAGGCCGCTAATTGCAGTGGTCTGCAGCCACTCGTCCCCTGGGGCCCGGCCACCCTGCTGCCCACAGCTCAGACTGAAGCCTTCCAGTGCTTTGCTCTGCTGGGAGCTCCCAGCTCCCTTCTGGTAGCTCCGATTGCTGTGTCCTCAAAGAGACGCCGCTCAGGACCACCAGGGCTCATCGCAGAGGGCACCGCAAGAGAAATGCCCTCCAACAAAGACCCCCAGCCAACCCCTGCCTGCATGCTCCCCTTGGTGCCACCAGCACTGAACCCAGCCCGGCCCCGCTCACCCTGGCAGGCACTCCCCGCACACCGCGTTGGCTGTCGCCGTGCAGTTGGACTTCTGGATGCGGTTGATGAGGGCGCAGGACAGGCAGGGCTTGCAGCCATGATGGCCCCAGCTGTCCTTAAACTTCCTGGGAGGGCAAGCAACGCACTGCGCATCCCCCCCCGCGCCATCGCCACAGTCCTGCAAGACACGAGGTTTGGTTTATGGCAGTGAGGAGATGCTTCAGGACCCAAAGTGATACTGAGAGCACAGCATCTCTTCTCTAGAGAAAGCCGAGAGCAGGCAGCCTCACACCTGGTCTTGTGGGGAGGCCGTGCTTTGATGGCAGCGGCTCACGGGCAGCCTTGGTCCCTGCAGCATATGCCAGAGGGCAGGAACACCCCGCAGAGCTGACCCAGAGGGACTGTTGGAGTCAAGACACAGCCTGGTGCCACAGCTGGGCCCATGCAGCAGTGCCTCACCGTGCCCACCAGCCTGCAGCCTGGCTTGTGCAGAGAGCTCAGGAAAGAGAGAGCAGCTTTCTGGGAAGGGCTACAGAAAGGCAGCCGTACATGGGGCCACTGACTGGAAGGAAACAGATTTTCTTTGGCAAAAAGGAACGAGGACAAATACAACAGCAGCATGGAATCCACCCCCGTTTTTGCTTCCACCTTCTTGCCCTTCCATCCAAGGTGAGTGAAACCCTTCACCTTCCCTTCCTATTGAGTGTCAGCTCCTCCCAACAGACAGAAATGCAAGATCGTCCCTTTAACAAGAATTAGCAAAGAATCCACCCTGCACTGCGAAAACTTTGGTGCTGGGTGATCCCTGGTTCTTCAAAGGCCATTTACCTTGGAGAGCTCCTGCCCAGGCATGCAGCTCCTGCACGGCACACACTTCCCGTGCTCGTCCAGGTACTCGGTCTCCTGGCAGCCCATCGTGTCTGGGAGGTGTTGGTACCTGAAGAGAGGAAGGGAAAGCAGAGTTCACACAAGTCCCAGCACTCTGGTAAAGTAGTGTGCCCTTTTCTGGGCAAAAGCTTCTACACCGGCCAGCAGACAGCCTGCACTTCTTATGCACCAAGAATGTCACTTTGGCAGCAGTGAGGCTGCCTGATCTCACCCACGCAGCAGTCTGCACTGAGAGCTCAGGAAGCAGAGAAGAGGCTTTCTGGGAAAGGCTGTAGAGGAGCTGTGCTTTTGCTGCCACATTGCGTTACTCACAGCGGAAGAAAAAATGTCATCTCCAATATGAAGCCGGACACAGTGACCACTGAAGCCAGTCTGGCAGTCAGTCAGAGTATTCTGCTACACCAGCTGGATCCTGGGACATCCCAGACCGTTAGACAGAGAGAAGCCCCAGCTCAGGGAGGTGGCAGCTGAGCTCTGACAAGAGCCGTGGAGCTGCATCCCAGACAGGGGATGCCATAGTGCTGCTTGTCTCCTGCACTGCAGAAGTTTCACTGTGGAATGGACTCACTCACAGCAGCATTGGAGGGCTGGCAGAACTGCACCCATCTCCTGGCAAAATACAGCCAGAGCCTTTCTGTGGGGATTCATGGCTCAGCTGAAAACAACAGCAGAGCTGCCCCAGCCTCAGCAGAGCCAGGATTTCTATCTTCAGTGTGTACGGCCTGTGGAAGCACTTGGGACTGGAGTGTCACTGAGAACAAGCAACAAAACCTGAAGCTATGAAACAGACCAACTCGCTCACAGCTTCAGGGCTGCCTGTGCTCTTCTGCATATTCTAGGTGTGTTCTCAACATAATGAAACAGAATAAAATCCATCCCTCCGCACTCTTCATTCAGCTCCTCTCCAAAGCAGCCAGGAGAGGAGCAGGAAGCACTGGGAATGCTCTTTTTAAGAGCACCCGGGAAGCCTGGCACTGCCTCACAGCCCCAGGGCAGCGCTCGGCCGAGGTGGTCCCCGCAAAGCTCCCGGGAAGGGGACGGCTCGGCCACGGCCCCCCATGCAGCCCCCGCCCCCCGCACTGCTGGCAGCACGGACACCGGATCTGCAGCACGCGGCTCCGGGCGCTCCGCTCCTGCTCCGACCCCCTCTGCTGCCCCTGCACGCACAGCTGGCCGCGCTCCGGGTCGGAACGATCGGGATTCATTAGGGATGAAGTCTCCCCCGGACAAGCTTAGAAGGTGAGTCACCGCTCGCTGCTGCTCACGCGCACGGCAGCGTCTCGTTTGCTGCAAGGAGAGGCAGCGAGAGCCGGCGAGGATTGGATGTGAAGACATGGGGCGATGAGGAGCTAAGGGAGCTAAATTTATCTGGCAAGCATCTCGGGAGGGGCACGATCACAGCCTATTAATAGCATAAAGGTTACTGACGTTATAGAATAAATAAAGGAAATTCGTCATCATCTCAGAAGGTGGCGAAGAGGAACCTCTGTGCCAATGTCAGGAACGAGCACTCAGGTTCCGAGTTAGGACCCGCCATGTGCTGCATGGAGGACGAGGAGCAGGCGCCCAGCTCGGGGCTCAGTGCTGCGTGTGTCCTGCAGGGGCTTCGGCACCCACGCAGAGGAAGGCGGGACTCCGGGCTGCCTGCCGCCAGCCGTCTGAAGCACAGCGGTAGTACAAGGAAGGGATATGCATGGAAAAGGGATCTTTCTTGGAGGAACTCTCTGGCAACTACAGCCGGTGCTGGCACAGACTCTTCCTTTCATATATTTACATATGCTTCTCCACTTGCGAAGGGTTTGCAGACACAGATGCACCCCTTGCAGCCTATCTCCTGCAGAGAGACTCAGCTTAGAACAATTTCCCCGACAGAGAAAGTTACAGAGGCAGAAGGAATCCCACAGCAGTGTGGGCACACGTGCCTTGGGACAGCATGGTGCACTGTGCCCACAGCCACCCCACAGCTGCCAGCACAGAGCGCGCTGCTGCTGCTCGGTCAGTGCACTGGTGAGTGGGACGGAATCTTTTGTCAGTACCTGGCATCAAATTCAGAGCTGTGGGATCTATTCTATTTTAACAATACCAGAATCAAGACATTTGATTTGGAAATGAAGCATACTTCCAAAACCTCATAATGCTGCCCTCGTAATTTCTGATAGTCTAATTAATAACTATGACAATTTACTCATCAGCAGTGAGTAAATAAGAACAAATGACAAAGCCCTCCTGCTTCCCTGAAAGCCACACGGACCCTCCAGGTGACTGCCAGAGGAACACCAGCAGGAACGGGAAGCAGAACATACTGCCTATGTCTTAAGGTGTGCAAAACCTTCCAACTTTGCCACCTGCTGCTGCTCAGACTGCAAAACTATGAATGGCAGGGAATGAGTTTCACTATGTGAGATCCAAAGTGCTGCAGCACAGTGACAGCACGCTGCTGCCCAATTACCTCTGCAACAGTTTTGATCTGCCTTTCCTTGTGAAAATATAGTTTTGAAGACAACTGTTTGGGAACTATACTTAGACATTTATTTTGTGTCCAACAAGTGGATTCTGGTAGAGAACAAAAAGGAGGAGGAAATGAATGAATTGGTACAAAAACGTCCTCAAAGCAACCATTGGCAGCCCAGGGCCGGGCTCTGAACAGACTGAGGGAGCAGCAGCGCTGGGCTGCCACCAACACAGCCTCAGATGGGACGCAGGAACAGACTGAAAAGTAGAACCGGAGAGAACAAAAACCCTAAATAACAACTGCAGATGAAAAGGAAGGGAAAAGAGAAATGTTACCCGGAAAATAGGACCGCACGCGGTGCACGTGGCCGTGCCCAGCCCCTGCCTCCTCCCCTGCTGTCCGTACTCGGATCCCTATGGATGTGTCCCTGAGTCCCCAGCAGCGGCTCTGCCCCGTGGGGCACCGGGGCTGCGGGACCATTTGGGGAATTAAACTGAAGGACGGGTTCAGTCAGAATCACTCACGATCATTAATACCAGGAAGGAACAACTATCGTGCAATTAGAATTACATTTACGAACAGGACGGTTTGCCATCAGCGCTCACTCAGTACAGCTTCACTGCGCCCTTAGGGATGCTCAGCGCCCATTCACTGCACCGGCACGGGGTGACGCGGCACCTGCGCTGCTCTGTGCCCCACTGCAGCGAGCCTCGAGCGGGGGTGAGGCGAGAAGGAGAGAACGGCGCTCCTGCGCACACAGCCGGGGCTCCCGGGGCCGGGACGGCGAAGTTCGGGCTCAAACTATCCAGCGGGGCCAGAACGGGAAACGCTGCTTGCAGCGACGTGTCACACCGTCATACCATCACACCGTCACACCGTCACACCATCACACCGTCATACCATCACACCGTCACTCACACCCACTCGCGGCGCTGCTCCCCTCCTCCCCCGCTGCGGTCAGGCCGAGCCCCGGCGCGCCCCCGGCCCACGCGCACCGCCGCCGCCCGACCCCGATCCGGCCGCGGCACACAAAGCTCGGTCCCCGCCGGCGCCCCCCGCCGCAGGAAGGCGGCAGCGCGCAGGGATATGCCCGGGCACGTCTCGGCGAAGGGCTCCCGGCCCGCGGCGGCACTGCCGGCTCGCAGCGGCGGCCGCACCCTCGGCTCCGACCTCCGTCCTCCCGCACGGTCACCCCGCGCTCGGAACTTAACGGAGCCTGCTGCGGCCCACGCGCGGGGCCACCGCTCTCACTTCTCTGTCGCTCCCTCCCACGCGGCGGCGCGATCCGCCCGCAGCTCCCGCCGTTCGGTCTCGCGTCCGCAGCGGCGCCCGCGCGGCGCCGACACCGGCGGCAACGGCACAGTGGGACGATGAGAACCGCCGCGGGTGGGAGGGAGAGCGCGTGGACCCCGCGCCTCACCTGTGTCCGGTGCGGGCAGAGGCGGGCAGAGGAGGGCAGGGCGTGCGGTGCGGTGCAGCCTCCGCTGGCGGAGCTGCGGGCAGGACGCGCCGGGCAGGACGCGCCGAACTCCGCGCGCTCCGTGGGCAGAACTCTCCGCGCCGCGTGGAGCAAAGCGAAGAACGCCCCGGGCACCGCAGAGCGCCCGCCCCGCCCCGCCCCGCCGCCTCCCATTGGCGGCCGCTGCGGGAATGCGGCGGTGCTATGTAAATCCGCGGCCCGTGCACGGCACCGCCCGCAGCCCGCACCGCCCCGCACCATCCCAGCAGGGCAGAAGGCGCCGCGGGCAGCGGGGTTGCGGGGCGGCGGCTCCGTTCGTGTCCGCCTTGCGGGCTCCGCTGTGGGCGGGTGCGGGACACGACAGGACTCGGCCGGTCCGTGCGGCGTTTTGCGGGGCGCTTGGGGCTCTGTGACTGCTCTGCTGGGGCCGCTTTTCGTGGAGCCCCCGCCGGCGCACCGAGCGTGATTCGCGGTCGGACTGCCTGGGGCGGCCCGGGGCTGCTGTCTGGAAGCACCGCGGCGGCGTGCCGTGTTCTCACTCCATCACGGCGTCTCCCCGTGGAGCCGCAGAACCCCTCAGCCTCGTGCGGGGTCAGTTTATTCAGTTTATTCTCCCGGCAGCGCTGACATTGGCGCTGTGCGTTCTGTACCCTCTGCCTCCGACGTCCTCGGCTGTGAAGCCCTGATCTGCCGAACTCGCTGCAGAACCACACCGTCGTCCCTAGATTCGGACGGCCGAGGGCAGACGGCGTTACTGCTGCTCATGGAGGGGCCCGGGTAGCAGCTTTTGGCGATGGTTCTGCGCAAGGATGTGTGTTTGAACACTATTAGGTTTAAACCTAGTATTTTGGAGGCATTCTTTCTGTTTCTCTCTCTTCTCTGAAGTTCAGGCATTCCCTCTCCAACAAATGCTTAGGGTAGGTCCCAGAAACTCCCCACTGCCACTGTGCGGTGGAGAAGGCAGATGGTCAGGTTGGGATAACCGAACGGATTTGGTATGAGATCAGCCAAGCTGCCCTGCTGCTGAATCTGACTGCTCGCAGCTTGGGCTGCTCAGTGATGCAATCTCTGTGGGGGAAGACAGCTCACCCAGATCGTTCTGCAGGGGCCGGGGGTGACATCACTGCGCCTGATGCAACCAGCAGTGCTGCTCCTTGTTCCACAAGCAGCACTGTGGCTTTTGGGACTGTCCAGCAAATTAACGTCAGCTCCAGCACTTTGGGAAGCTGATAGAAGTTGTTTCACGGAGAAAAGCCATCAGCAGAAGTCATCTGTGGCATTATTTTCTGCAGACTGACTCAAAATGAAGGATCTACAGATAGTGCATCCAGCACAGAACAAGGGTGGCGTGAATCCAGCACAGAACAGGGGTGGGCAATGGGAACAGAGTACCCCTGGCAGTCAGTGTCCCCATGTACTGTGGGGTTTGTGGTGGTGCTGCTGCTGGGAGGGTGCAGTGCTGGAGGAGGGCTGGGGGCACTTCATGCGGGCGCTGGGGCTGTCCCACGTGTCTCCGAAGACTCAGAGCGGTGGCGGTGCCCCGGGGGCAGCTCAGCCCCACACAGCGCTCAGCGGCGGCAAGGCTGTCCCCAGAGCACAGCACTGTCCGGGTGTCTGCTGTTCGGGTTGGCTGGGCTGGGTGTAGGGCACCCCACACGCTGCGGGGGTGGGCAGGCAGAGGCCTTTCGGGCTTTTGCATCATCTAACAGAAACGTCTTGAAGCATTTTGTGTCATGACCGTAATTACCTTATGATTCGCTCAGGGTCACATCGCCTTCGTAAGTTATGAGTGCAAAGCATAAAGAACAGCAGTACGGTATTAGAAGTTACCAGGAGCAGGAATTCTGAAGAGGGGGATCTGTTTTACAAGCTCTTCTGGCACGCTGGAGGATTCACAACGCTAGAGGGCCCCCAGCTCCAGGCCCAAACATAACCGCCCGCCTGCACGCAGACGCAGAGGCTCCCCGCTGAGATGGGCTGGTCGCGCACTTGGCGTGTGGAGCAGTGAACCGATCGCAGCGGTACGGCCAGTGGGACACCTCCCACATTCCCTGCATGTCAGACCCGCACTCTGCCCATCCCTGCCTCAAACATCAGAAAACTGTCTTTTATCCGGGTCATGAAATGCGATGGGAGCAGTGCAGAATTCCCCTCTTTGCACGCACTCTGATGCACCTGGAGCCCACGTGAGACTGGAGGAGGTGCTGTGAGGGAAATGCCCCGTGCTCAGAGGAACTCACCGTTGTTCAGCTGAAGTCTCCTCCCCATCAGGCTGACGTTTCTCCAGTGTTTGTTCCAGTTCCATGGTCACGGCCACCTTTTCAGAGCACCTTTGTTGCTTACCTGGTGAGAGAAGCTGCTTTGGCATGAGAACTACTAATTTCTATCAAAAATATCCTGTAATTGCCTAAGCTATAGCTGAGCAGCGGAGTTTTGAGTTAATTTAAATTGAACATAAGGAAGAATTTTTTTACAATAAAGATGGTGAGGCATTGGCACAGGTTGCCCAGAGAGGCAATGAAAGCCCCATCCTTGGAAGCGCCCACAGTCCGGCTGTGTGGGGCTCTCAGCACCTGGTGTAGCTGTGGGTGTCCCTGTTCATTGCAGGACAGTTGGGCTAGACAGCATTTAACCTTTTCAACTCAAACAATTCTACAATTTGTGAATTACACATCCTTTGATTTGGTGTCCTCCCTACTTACAGAGCTCAGGACAACGAGGCACGGCTCACTCTCCTGCCTGGTCACACCACGTTTGCTGAGTCTCTCTGCCTCACTCAGTGAGAACGGTTTCTTTTCTCCATGGCCACTAAATGAATTGGGTTTTCCATATGGTCACCTCATGCATGCTGTGACTCTCCTGTGCCTGTCAGGATGTGCTGCTGACACATTTGTGAAGGTGTTCAGAAGGCATCTGGTGTCTCTAGGATGCTGACTTGTGCTGCTGCAGGCTCAGGTCAGGAGGCAGAGTATGCTTTCTCCAGACAGGAGAGGCTTCCGCTGCTCTCAGGCATCCCTCTCAGCCGCTGCCTGGCATGCGGTGGCTGCAGGCCCTGCTTGCAACAGGGCAGGGGGCACAGCCTGCAGGACTCTACAATAGCTGAGATCGGCTGCCCGAGAGCCTGCGGCACCCCAAGAGAGAGCTGTGCCCCCAGATCCATCTGGGCTGCTCTCAGAGGAACCGCACAGCCTCTCCTGCTGTCAGCCTGCCGTAACCTTCTACGCGTGAGTTTTTTCATTGCATCCCGTGAGGCTGAATCACGGCCGTGCACTCTGGAAGGTGCGAGGGTGCACGCTCACAGGCAGGCACGGGCAGGACAGAGGGGCCCGCAAGCACCTCGGGGCGGTCGGATCAGCTTTTGCCTCAGTTCTCGGCAGGGCTCCGACAGTCGGGACTTTCTCGCTGCCGAAGGAAGGCGCAGCTCCGACACCGCTGCGGGCTGCAGAGAGCCGCGCTGCCAGCAGAGGGCGCTCACCGCCTTCTGGAGGAGCCCCGACCCGCAGCGCCGCGCCGGGAGGCCGCGCTCCTTTCCCGGCCTGGCTGAGGGCGGCCGCGCGGCCACTGGCGCGGGTTGAATTTCGCTTTGCCTTTTTTTTTTCCCCTTCCTTTCCCTTTCCCTTCCCGTTTCTGCGTACCTCTTTCTCTCTGGCTGTGTGTCTGTGCGGTTGCACGATGAAGTGGAGCAGCCTGTCTATAATGGGGGAATGCTGTGCAGATGAACTCCTCATGTGCAGAAGGGGCAGCCGGGGATGGGCAGAGCTGACAATGGGACACAGACCTGCAGATGCTGGCTTCCCTGGGACCCCATCTGTTGTTAACAGAGGGACTCAAAGGCTAGAAATGCTAGAAGGAAAAAGAGGAGTGCCTGATGCACTGCTGTTTGTAAGCAGCCATCCAGCACAAACCTGAGAGCGTCTTTTGCACCAGAAAGTTTTGAGCTCCTTTTGTTTGCAACACTGTCAATGAGCAGCCCTGCAGGAGCTGAATTACTGACTGTGACAGATCTATCTGAGAAGAAATGGTACACAAAAACACATTGAAACCCAGAAACTGGAACTGCTGTTTCAAGGTTCTCTTGGTCTGTGTATGGAACCCTTCTTCACTTCCATGGGAGCTGGATATGTGCAGCCCTCCTGCACATATCTACATTCTTGCTCTCCTATTCTTGTAAGAGGAATCCCAAACGGTGTCAATAGCCCCATTGCGGGTGACAAAGATGAAATAACAGAACAAAGAAGACAGCAAAAAAAAAAAAAGTGTTGATTTAAAAGCACAGAAATAGAGGCCCTCAGCACTTCCACAGCTCAGTCTGTTTCTCATGGGAATCCTAATCACCCGTTCCAAAGTGCAATATATTGACCATCTCCAAACAGCCCACCGTCTCAGCTCGTTCACACCTGGCTCCTCTCGCCCAGCCTCTGTTCATCTCACGGCCTGCCGTAGCTCTGTGCAGCAGCTCCAGCCTTCCTTGCTAATTCGTGCATTTGCAGCAGCTGAAAATCTGACCGTGTGCGACAAGCAGCTGCATGGCACAGAGAGGCTGCAGTGTGAGGGGGCTGTGGGTGCAGCCCTGCAGGACCAGGGCTGCACTGTGCTGCACCAGAACGCTGGAAACCTGAGCACGATGAACTCGTGCCACTGCTGATGTTGGTTCACGGTCCAAAAAGGGATGAGAACAATTCAGTTAGATCCTTTTTCCTGGAAATGAGAGCTGAGAAGAAGGGCAGACGTTTCTGAAGCTATCTTGGAAGAGTTTGTCCACAGCATTCCGGCTCCCCACCGCCAGTGTCCATTAGGAATTGTGGTGTTTGTCCACAGATCTGTGTCCCAGAAACACCCATGTGTTCCTGAAAACTGCCTTCAGTTCCTTCAGGACCCCCTGGGCAATGCAGCTCTCAAGGATTCTGCCAGTATTCTGACAGAGCACTGTGTGAGGGGGACTTCAGTGCACACAGAGCTCTGCTGATTGCGAGCATCACGAGGACCTGCAGTGCCTGGGCATTGGAAATAGGCACAACATTGAGAGGATTCTGGAGGCCTTTAAAAGAAATGACAGAGCAAAATTTACTGCACTTTCAACCAGTTCTTGTGTTTTCTGCCTGCCACATTTGTTCTGGCTCGTAATAAAATGAACTTTGGTTTGTATATTGATTTTACTGTTTTCACATTGAGGAAGAAAAGCAAATATCTACATTTCACCGATGATTGGCTCCTGGGAAGCAAAAAGAAATTTCTCTCATTAGGAGCATTTGATTCAGGCAGAGCCGTGTGGAAACAGGCATCTGACTTTGCTGCTTCCCGGGATGCCGCCCTCACACCGCCCGTCGTCTGACCTGACAGAAAGGCAGAGCCAGCAGCCGCGTGAGCTGCAGGCAGAGGGAGCAGAGGGCGGCTGTGCTGCGGGGCACTGCCAGCAGGGGAAGAAGAGCTGATCTGTGGGGATGCACACAGCGCTGCGGCGCAGAGCACTGAGAGAAAGGGGAAGGGCAGAAGTCAGAGCCGCGGCTGCCCCCAGCAAACACTACTGCAGGGTCGGGCAGTTTCTGTGTCTGTTTGTTTTGCTTTGTTTGTGTAGCTGTTTTTGTTCGGGTTCCGTTGTTTTTTGGGGGTTGGTTTGTTTGTGAAGGTGCTTCTCCAGTCAGTGCAGCTCAGGTCAGCACCCCAGGACACATCCCAGATCGATGGGAGCTATGAGAACTATGATGCCTTCTAATTTCAGAGGGAAAAACCATAACCAGCAGCTGAGTTGGAACATCTGCCTGGATGCTTTGTGTGTTTTTCAGAAGGAAATAACTGCAAAGCTGACTATCGACTGGCTGATGTGTTCCAGCAGGGAGGAACGACCCTGACCACGTGGGGAGCTTATCAGCCCGAAGGCGGCTGGCCCCTCGCTGGCTGTTTGGGGCAATGCACCACAGCTTCTCATTCCTCAGCTTCACACCCTTCCAACATTTTAAGGGAAATCTGATGGGACTCAGAGCCTTGAACATATGGCTGGAAAATTCTTTTCTTCACTAGCAGAGTGAAAACAGCTCTGCATAACCCCTAATGTTTTTCATGGCATCCATTTCTGGCCAACAGTTCTTTCAGCACTATTAAAAGTAAAACCAGAGCTGACAGCATTTTGGTCACACAACTTTCCCTGCAGCATTTGGAGGACACGAGGCTGTACTTCAGCAGCTTTCTTCGGCAGGACCAGAGTCATTGATAATCCATCTGGAAGTCCCATGATGCTGTCAGGAAGCAAGCACATTACTGTTGCAAAATCCTCATGAACTATGTATTGGAGAAGGTAGGAATTACGTGCCTACAAGACAGTTGTTGCTCTCTTGTTCGAAAAGGACACCTGGGTACTGCAGTGTTTGCTCCCAGCGACTCACCATCATAGCTCAAGACTCCCCCAGGCCAGGTGAAGGTGGCACAGGCACTCAGGGAGCCTTAGCCATGCACTGGGGCTCTGGGAGGGACTGCGTGAGGCTGCCTGTGTGAAAACCCGAGCAGCACAGGGTGAGGCAGAGAGCACTGGCATGGACAGGAGGACAGGGTGACATGAGCGTGACAAAATGGACTGCATGCAGGTGACCAGAATTATGTACACTTTGCAGGTAAAGACAAGGATTTGGTTTAATAATGGAGGGAAAGAGTCCAGAAAGGCAATTACCTGAGAATATCAGAACGAGATTCCAGGGCCACAATCTAGCACAGTACCCTGATTCTGTAACCAGGCGTGGGGACGAGGGAAGGAGATTAAAGCAGAGCACATTTACCTGTTAAGCTCTGATGGAATTCTCTTCTGTGAACGCTCTGTTTGCTCCCAAATCCATCCACAAACATTTTGTTCCAACCCAGCCCCTATAGGCAGGGACGCCTCCAGTATGCTTGCAGCAGAGAGAAGAGCTTAAGCTTTCTGCAGGGAAGGGTTTCGCTTTGCCACTGGGCCCATCTGACTCCATCTGTGTGGATGTGTGTAACTCTGCTGACTTCAGGAACACGCCGTCCATTTGCTGGTGAACAGAATCCAACCTCAAATGTGTTTGTTGTCGCATACATCAGATGCCAAAGCTGGCAGCCCAGAATAAACAGTTAAGCAGAAACTCAGCAATGGCAGTAGCAACCCGCTGTCTAAAGTGAGCTTGTGGGCATTAATATGAACCAACTGTTCTTAACTACCTGGCAATAATTGCATCTGATAAACAAGCAACATTTCAGCATTTAACAGATGAATATTGGAAAGAGCAGTGTCCAAGGAGCAGCCACAGCACTCGAAGCAGTCTGAGCTCTGTACCAGGATTTTGGCAACCTTTTTGGAGTGGTGGGCAGTGGCGGCCCGATGAGACCA